GGCTGATGGCATGAAAACGGAAATTAGTGCCCCACCATTAAATTCATTGAACGAAGAATGTCAAAAATAGCTCTATCATGAAAGTTTAAGGAAGGGCATTCCAAGTTACAAACTTTGCTTCCTTTTTCTTCATAGTATATACAGGTTCAGTAATAAATTTAACCAGTACTGGTAAGCCGACGTTCTCGGAATATCCGATATCATCGTCAAGTGACATGGTAGGTAGTGGTAGGAGTCGAAGTATCTTTCATCTGAAATTGCAGTAGGCTTAAATTGAGGTAAATTTTCGACGAACGAAAAAATAGAACTTGCCAACCAGCTTGTTCCGTCGGGCACTTGCATGCATTCTGTAGTGAGAGACTGCAGTACTGTAGTACTTTGTTTGATGAGGATGACAGCTGAACTTTCTTGGAGCAATGAGGATTGAGGTTTTCGGCTGATCGTTGAATTTTGAAGCTTCTGTAATAACTGCCTGAAAATGTAAAATGTCAAAAATAAAAACAGTAATAAGCTAGAGACTACCGAACTTGGACTGAATGGAATCTGGTGACAATAAAGAGTGCTTCGGGTAAATCGCTTAACAAGCTGTCACACATAAATGAAGCACCTGTACAACGCTAGATGGTTTCATCAGAAAACAGGTACTACTGAACATATGACTTATGCCATAATGGTCGCATAGTTTCAGAAGAAGCGAAAGGGCAAAATTATGCATAACGTCGATTTCTTTCAAAAGAGATCATATGGTGATATATTATGCTACGTTGATAATGAACCTTGGTATGTGGCAGTGACCGTGTTGCAGAAGTTAATCGAGGCTTGAACCCTGGTGGGAAGGATCACACTTTGTTATAGTTCTTCGAATGATCAAAGACAAAGCTGGGCAAGCTGGAGAAAATGGTAATTTGAAATAACCTCGACTATAAGCCGTTTTTTTCAAACTTTAAGGATCGCAGTTGCGACGGTTTGGATAGATGCGACTAGAATGCTGAATGAGAAGCTAAGAAGGTGTATTCAGGCATGGTCACGCTGTATAACTTAGTTTCTTTTGAACTCTCGGCTTCACGAAGGATCAGGGCCATTGTAATGGCTGGCTGAAGCAGATGTTTCCGCTACCTGAAGGAAGTAGCAGGCACTGAAAATGCATGAATGCACGAAAGCATGGATTAAGACATGTTTGAATGCGAATGAATGAGTGAATGTATAAGTAAATGAATGAAAGCAGTTTACTGCATACCCCCACATACTCTATCTTCTTGGGACTAAAACCTGGAGAAAAGAGAAGGTTGGTGAGGGAGATTCGTTGCAGGTACACCGTTCCTTTGCCCACTAATTTATTAGACCAAAACTATTCACTATATTTGTTGCTGATGACCGAAGACCGTCGAACATTTGTTTCGGTATCCAGTCCATGAACTGCGTATGTACACCTGCAATTCGAAGAAACGATGGGGGAAGATCATAGCTAGCTTATGGCTCACTATGTCGCATTTTGCCATTCCTGTTCTTAGCATTACCAGTGAGGGCGCACGTGTGTACGTTAGAACAGGGCCTAGACCATATTCTACCTCGATCGCTGTTTTACAAGTTTCGCCTTTGACCTTCGTGACACCTTTCGAGGCCTTATCATATTGTGACATAATATCCACATATACAAGCCAACGGAGTTTATTTATTTCTTACCGCTTGAACAGGATAGCAAAACGTGGCAAAAAGTTGGCAATAAAATATGCTATGCGCCGGGAAACGTGTGACAAGCAAAATGTACGATCAGTTTGCACTGTTCTGCCTGTACGCTTCACGCAGAGTCCGCGTTCACCTTTGGTTCCCTTGTCAAAACTTGGGACCCCGATCTGGCTCAAGAAGTTAACCGGTTTTAAGCATCTTATGGGTGACATGTGCATTACTGTGGAACGACAGGACACGGTTAAAACATTTTCATTGGTCGACAGTCATTGCATTGTCTCATATACTAGCCTGATTCTGGAGTGACCGGCATTACCGCAACCCCATCCAGAAAAGAGAAAGGAAGGAAAAAAGTTTGTCACCATTAGAATGTCGGTCTTCCTTCACATTCATGATTGGGCCCTTCTTTTCATGAAATTGACGACGTGGTGCTGATCCCGGTTTCATGAAATCAGTCAGGTGTGCCTTATTTTAAAGGTAAAGTTTACAACAATGCGGCAAGCGTAGCCCGTAGTGTCCTGTTTTCTTCCTACGCTGTGGGAATCATCTATAAACCTCAGAAGGAAAAAGCGAGGGTAACCCAGACCAAGACTTTAACTCAGGACCGATCGGATGAGTTTGACGCCCTACCGACTGAGCAATCCTCGTCTGGAGATATACAACCGCCGGAGCTTCATCGGGGTCATTTTGCGGACTATAACTAAGCGCAGAGGTAAATGTTAGTCATTCCAGTTGGATTCGTACTCAAATTACTTTTCTTCCAGACAGGCCTACCTCTGCGGTAAGGTATGTTGTAGAGGTTATCAGAGCCAGTTGTCATATTTATCATTTAAGTGGTACTTTAAGAGTAGTCAAACGAGGTGATATACTTTAGAGAGTTGAACGTTCAGAGAAGTTGCGAATTTATCATCTTTATTCCTCAAATTGTCCTTGAATTGTTTGGCGTTTCGACAAGCTGAAACCAGTTTGCCAAGAATGGTTCTAAAAATAACGGACAGCGCCATTTTGAAGATATTCAAAACGAGCATGACTTTTTGCCACTAATAATAAGATGATGATAACGTTGAGGCAAAGAATTTTTTTATGACTGATTTGAGGTCGGTTTGGCAGAGTAGAGGGGAAAGAGAAGCAGCCAGAAAATAAAGCTTCAACAACGAATCCAAGACGGTGCTCTAATGATTAGAATGCAGGAAAAACCACTGGGTACCGAATTGATAACGGATGTAGTTTCGTACTGAGAAATCAGAAAAAGGTTGAAAATGATGGCTGATCAGTGATTAAACGTTTTCAAGGAAACCAAGCCTTGAATCATAGGATCAATGGGAAATAAATAGCATCTTCCTTGAGCCATGGTGGTGAACGTAACAGCAGTAAAGTGCAGGTGTCTCGGAGGAGATAGCTTAGGAGTAGATTCGGCAAGCAGAGAGGTGAAAGGTCGATGTGAAAAACAGGCCATAACTGTGTTACAAAAAAGTACTATCGAACATAATCGGTGAGGTCTACGAAATGAGTGTTGAGTATGTAATTCTGTACTTAGTATAGAACACAATTAAACAGAAGTCCACAGTAGCAAATCAGCAGCGAAAAGAACGGAATGGTAAATGATACCTGGATGGTCCCTATCAAATCATCTGT